GGGGTCTGGGTGCTGTGAGGACCCTCCCCTCCCTCTTCCCTCCCCCCACCCCAGGCTGACGGAGGAGTCCCGGCGGATTTTCGGGGAGCTGGGCAGCGCCGTGGCCAAGACGTTGGGTTTCCGCGACAGCTGGGTGTTCCTGGGGGCCAAGGGCGTGCGGGAGCCCAGCCCCTTCGAGCTGGTGCGTGTGGGGCAGCCCCACATCCCTGCCCCACAGCTGTGGGGCTGCCCCATAAGTCACTCATTTAACCCCCCCAAAAAAATTTAATTTTGTTTTGGCAGCACGTGAGGAACAACCGCGGCTCCAATAAATACGAGGGGTGGCCCGAGGCGCTGGAGATGGAAGGATGCGTCCCAAGGAGGCTCCCGGACCCATAGATCTATGGGGCAGACCCCCAAGTGCTCAGGGGGCAGGGCTGGGTCCTTCCCCCCCCTCTTTTTTTGTCGTCGTCGCCCCACGTTTTGGGGGTGGAAATAAAGGCTGAGCCGCTCCGTGGGGCGTCTGGAGGGGCTCTGTGGGGCTGACCCCCTAAGTGTGGGGCTGCCCCATAAGTGTGGGGCTGACCCCTAAGTGCCCTGGGGCTGCCCCGTAAGTGGTGGGGGGTGATTAAGGGACTCTGGGGGGGGGTTAATTAGTCCTGGGGGGGTTAATTAAGCTCAGGGGGGTGCTTTGGTCCCAGCTTCAGGGGGTGGGTGTGGGGCAGGATGAGATCTATGGGGCAGGATGGGATCTATGGGGCAGGAGAGGAGTCCTATGGGGCACTATGGGGCAGGAGTGTTCTATGGGGCAGAATGGGGAATCTATGGGGCAGCATGCGGAATCTATGGGGCAGGAGAGGGGCCCCATGGGGCCAGGAGTGTTCTGTGGGGCTGGAGAGGGGATCTATGGGGCAGGATGAGATCTATGGGGCAGAACAAGAAGGTATCTATGGGGCCAGAAGGGATCTATGGGGCAGGAGAAGGGATCTATGGGGCAGTATGAGATCTATGGGGCAGAACAAGGAATCTATGGGGCGGGAGAAAGGATCTATGGGGCAGGATGGGGAATCTATGGGGCAGGAGAGGGGGCACCATAGGTCCAGGAGTGTTCTGTGGGGCAAGAGAGGGGATCTATGGGGCAGGATGGGATCTATGAGGCGGGAGAAAGGATCTATGGGGCAGAATAGAGAAATTTATGGGGCAGGAGAGAGGGCACCATAGGTCCAGGAGTGTTCTGTGGGGCAAGAGAGGGGATCTATGGGGCAGGATAGGATCTATGAGGCGGGAGAAAGGATCTATGGGGCAGAATGGGGAATCTATGGGGCAGGAGAGAGTCCCTATGGGGCCAGGAGTGTTCTATGGGGAAAGAGAGGGAATCTATGGGGCAGGATGGGATCTATGGGGCGGGAGAGGAGTCCTATGGGGCACCATGGGGCCAGGAGTGTTCTGTGGGGCTGGAGAGGGGATCTATGGGGCAGTATGAGATCTATGGGGCAGAACAAGGAATCTATGGGGCGGGAGAAAGGATCTATGGGGCAAGAACAGCAGCACCATAGGTCCAGGAGTGTTCTGTGGG